TGACAAACATTCTCTTATTGTTAGTCAGTATACTTTTAACTCCACGCACTTACGCATGTTTGCATTTAGAGATGCAGAAAAGTATTTACATCAATGTAATTGCAATAGACCATCTTCGTATGTACCTGAATGTCGTAACACGCCCTGCATCAGTACTGTTCTTAGAACGTTCGAAGAACACCCTGCTTTGTTTTCGTAACGATTATTTTTTTTCGTCAGCTAGGGAGCTTATTTCTCGGAACCAGAAATAGGTACCACAAAACGGACGTCATGGCGTTTTCTAACTCGTGGCTATTCACGTATTTAATGTAAAACAAAAATGTTCTGCGCAACCGGAAGTGAGATAGCAAAAAACCGGAAATGGACTGTAGAGGGCGTATTTATCGTTCGACTTTGCTCGGGTTTCCTTTATTATAATTCTTAGTACAAAGGACATAATATGATAGCAGTTGAAAATATTCGATTTTCCAAAATTCCTTCGATACTTTTTTTTGTGGAAATTAATCGAAAAATGCTATTTCGGTTGCTTTTTGACAGATCGATTTGAAATTTATATGGCGTAGACCGTCGGTATGGGCAAATAATTCTGCACAGTCCTTATGACCTTGAATATCTGTTGACCTTTTGACCTTTGGGGTCAGACCAATTTTATAGGGGTTTAAAAAATTTGCCATTTTGAACCTTTTTAGTGCTGTATCTCGTAGCCTAACAGAGATATAGCAATAATTCTTTAGATTTCATAATGCTGAGATCAAATTTAAGTTGGTTAATAAGACGTCCGTTAAGACTTAAAGTACCATTCACCCCAATTTCTATCAGAAATGCACTATGTCAAGTTTTCGCATATAATGACGTTCTGGAGTGGATTAAATGGTGTCATTCTGCAAGTTGAGCTTACTGAAGCACACTAGAACCACGCCCACGGCTTAATTGACCCACTTTCTTATTTCATGTCCGAATATCTTCAAACTTGTTATATACTTGTAAATTCGATTTGTGATTTGCAGGAAAATATCGATTTTTTGTTGTGTGCATGCGCATTCCCACTTTCTTATTTCTTATCCGAATTTCATCAAACTTGTTATGTACGTGTCTAATCAAATTTTAAATTTGAAGGAAATGTTGAATTTTTGTTCTGCGCATGCGCATTACTAACTTTTTTATTTCTTGTCCGAATTTCATAAAAATTAGTATGTATGTGTATAATCCAAGTCTTAATTTGATGGAAATATTGAATTTTTGTTGTGCACATGCGCATTATCAACTTACTTATTTCTTATACAAATTTAATCAAACTTGCTGGGTATGTCTATAATCAAATTATAAATTCGATGGAAAATATTGAATTTTTGTTGTGCGCATGCGCATTACCAACTTTCTTATTTTTTATCCGAATTTCACCAAACTTGGTATGTATGTGTATAATCCAATTCTAAATTTGATGGAAGTATTGAATTTTTGTTGTGCACATGCGCGTTACCAATTTTCTTTTTTCTTATACAAATTTAATCAAACTTGCTAGGTATGTGTATAATCCAATTATGAATTCGATGGAAATATCGATTTCTTATTTATTTCTTATACCAGTTTCATCAAACTTAGTCTTTATTATTGGACAAACATTCTTTTGTTCCTAGTCAATATACATTAACCTCTAGGCACTTTTGGATATTTGAATTTAGAGATGCAGAAAAGGACATAATATGATAGCAGTTGAAAATATTCGATTTTCCAAAATTCGTTCGATACTTTTTTTTGTCGAAATTAATCGAAAAATGCTATTTCGGTTGCTTTTAGACGGATCGATTTGAAATTTATATGGCGTAGACTGTGGGTATGGGCAAATAATTCTGCACAGTTGAAAATGTTCATCACTTCTGGTTTCAAGGTTAGTACTTCCGGTGGCATCACTTCCGATGAAATTGAGTTATGGCAGAAATGACATATGCATAAGCTTAGTGTCACTAATACAAAGTGTGACAACTAAAAAAAATCGTACCGGAAGTAACATATAGGTCGCCATCTTGGTTTGCTTCATTATGCAGTTTTGGAGCTATTTATTACCCGATTTGAACAATTTTGGTGTCAAATGATAGAATTAAAGTTTATCTAAAACTTGTTGAGGACAGAATTTTGATTTTCGGCTTTGCCTTTTTTGTACGACCGGATATTTTTTTTCAAAGTTTGAAGGCGTATATCTCGTGACCTTAACCTTTGGTGACCTTCATATTTACTATGATGATAATTTGTGACCTTGAATATCTGTTGACCTTTGGGGTCAGACCAATTTTATAGGGGTTTATAAAAATCCAATTATAAATTCGATGAAAATATTTATGTCTTATATCGGTTTGATCAAACTTAGTCTTTATTAATTGATAAACATTCTTTTATTCCTAGTCAATATACCTTAACCTCTAGGCACTTTTGGATATTTGAATTTAGAGATGCAGAAAAGTATTTACATCAATGTAATTGCAATAGACTATCTTCGTATGTACCTGAATGTCAGTACTGTTATTAGAACAGTTCTAGTTATTATTATTATTATTATCTGACAAAGTATGACGCGTTTTTCCAAAGTCAATGGGAACAACTAAAAACCGTTCTTCGAAAAATCGTCAAATTCGAACTTGACCAACTTTTCATCAATATACATGATTACACCAAGTTTCATTAAAATCAGATTAGAATCTGTAGTCTTTAGTGTGTTCACAAGAAATGTTGCGGGCATATAAAAATGGTACTTTCAAGGGGAGACAATTGAAAGGGTTTCCATGTATAAGTACTTGGGTTTTGTGACTTAAAATGGATAAAACATCTGATCATTTAGAATTCCAGGGTGAAAAGGCCATGAATTTTTTGTCACAATTTTGTAGTAAGAATAATGTCAATGTAATGGAACGTTTGTACTTTTTTGACAGGATGATAACATCTATATTAACGTTAACATGTGGTTCTGGTATTAAGTATGATATACTTGGAAAAGTGCAGTGGAATATAATTTCCACTGTGCTGTTAGAATTAACTAGGCAATATTAGATAAGACGGGTTATAATTATGTCTGGCTACAATAAGGACCAACTATTGCTAATTCCGTTTTATCAAGTCTCAAGCAGATATATGGTGCCAAGACTGGCTTAGTGATATAGTATCCAATGGAAAATTAGTACTACATGAACAAATTAAAAATACTTGAAATGTGAACAATATTTAAGTAGTATCTATAGTAAATGTTTCAGAAATACATTGTCTAGAATTAGGGTGGAAGTCAAAGGTTAGCAATGGAAACTGGGCGATGGAAATCCATTGATGGAAAGTTGTATTTATATCAATCATACTAAAAATTAATTATACTTCAATAAAGCAATATAAAAAAAGCCATTACTACTTTACTAGAAAACTAAAGAAGGCATTACCACTGTACTAGAAAACGTTAGCTTGTGGACGTGAACTATGGACAAGTGATTGAATTGTATAAAACTGTGAAACAGGATTCATCCAGCACTTTGCCTCAAAAATTCTAAGACTTTTCAAGGACTCTGGGCTTTGAAATTCAAGGACTTTTCAAGGATATTAGTCTGACAGAATACACATGTACCTAACTTCAGAACTTATTGTGAAATCAATAAAGATAGTTAATATTTGTCAATGGGGTTAATATGTTCTTTGCCTGAAGATGTTTGTGTATTTGCTAATCACCAGGAAGTTTGATTCTCTTGTCTCCATAATGTGTGTATGTGTAGGCTAGTACTGGTGGTGCTTACAAGAATGGGTATTTATAGCCTAGGTTCTTAAGTTCTTTAGCTTTCGTGGCAGCATTACCAGTAGACATGTAACTTGTCACATCGCTACTTGACCTGCTTTGAAGAGGATTCATCGGTGGTAAACTAGGTTTTGATCGGTAAGGATTGTCACCGCCACCAACATTTGACACTGCTATTATCTGTCCTTCCATTGACTTCATCAAACTGACGTGTTTTTCACTACTCGTGTGAGATTTCAGAGCTGCTTGTCCCAATTTTGCCAGGTTGAAAGTTTTGTTAACCCCCATTTACTAAATTCACTCATTTGTAACCACGATCGGTTAAAAGTACATCTTCCGGACATAGCGATAAATTACGATTAGAACAATGGCGGCGATCAAGATGTACATTTTTCCAAGGAGACCATTTCCCAGCTCTGAAATGTTACTTTTTTTCGAACAGGTCATTCTGCCAAATTAGCGAAAATAATCACTAAAATTCTCGTATAATTGGGAATTGATCAAATACAGTGAAAAATAAAAGCATGTTATTAATTTAAGTTGATAGACATCGCGAGACGTGACCTTACAAATGAACATAATAATCACTCGATCAACATGGTGTGTGAAGATAGTAGATATAATAGATGACAACCGAGACTACATGACCCATGGCTGTTGCTTTATACCCCCTACTATGCAATCTATATTGAATACTTGAATTATTTTCAGCAACAGCTGTTCTGTTGATAAATCTTACTCAGACAAAAATATCCGCTTATTAAATTTGTGAAAAATATACACAATTTGACTCAACTCAAACTTGAAGGACTTTTCAAGAGAAAATGGGCTTTTTATGGTGTTTTCAAAGACTTTTTTTTTAAATCAAGGTTTTTCAAGGCAACAGACGAAATTTAAGGGTTTTTCAAGGCTGTGCGAACCTTGTGAAAAATCTTCTGTTTACAATGATATAGAGATATTTCTACTGCTGGAAATGTTTCCAAACATAAAAGGTATATTCGCATTCAAAGCTTTATATTGTTTACGTGGAATTCCTCAATATAACAATTGTTAATAAGTAAATAGGTTTCGGTTGACTGAAGTTGAACACATGCATGTCTTTACTCTTTACTAAAACAACAACCAATATGCACTAATTTTTTTTCTATATGTCTATGATATCATTAAGCCATTTCGTCAAATTTATAAACATCTTTCTTCCAGTCGAGAATCTATCCATTTTATTTAAAATTCACAGGAGCAAGAAAAAAGTCGTCTTTTGGAGCAAAGTATGCAGTTGTTAAATATTGAAATGAAGCGGACTGACGCATTGCTATATCAAATGATACCAAAGTCAGTAGCAGACAGGCTGAGGAAAGGGGAGCCATCTGGGAATACATGCGAGGTAAGTGAAGAGATCTAATATTTTGAGATGTCTAAGCATTCTATTCCGTTTCAAATCTTGAAGTTTGCAAAGAATTTTAAGTGGCTAGTGTCTTAAAAGAAAGAACATTGTTTACTTTGCTTCTTTTCTTCTTGTCCTTTTAGACCGAGGGCAAGGTGGAGTTGAAGTCGAGCCAAAATGTTTGATGCCTTCATTGTCTGGACATTATCAGGGGACTTGAACGAATTCTTGACTCACCGATTGGTGCGTTATCTAGTCATAGTTATGGAAAGACCCCTGTAATGTTCTGTAGGTTTTTAGGACTGTAATCAATAGGTGTACCCATGGATATTCAGGTGTATGTGATGTAACATCTTGTGAAATGTCGTTAGCAATTGGGGTACCAAAATTAGTGTCGAACGAAACAGACTCTTGGTAAACCTCATTCGATTATAATAAGTGGTGTCTATTACGCCAATATGTAGTTCCATCACGCGTACGAACAAAGTATGAGTATGGGTCATGTTGACGAGTGACATCTGCAAACTTCCATGTGTTGTTTGGTTGTTGTATCCTAACTGGTTCACCGATAAGTAGCGTTTGCATCGGGCGAGCCGAAACATCGTAGCGTGTTTTCTGTATGGCACGACTGTTGTCTATTTGAGTTCTAACTACTGAATTATCAAGGTTTTGAGGTTTTAACTTATCTCGAGTGGTTGGTAAAATTGACCGCAAGCGCCTACCCATTATTAATTTGAGTGTTATACCTCTATTACGGCAACACTCAAATATTGCAGATTAATTTTGATCATGCTCAGCTCGTGTTTGACCGTAAACGAGTATGTTATCGTCTATAGCTATTATACCTTGTAAACCTTCTAATGTCTCATCTATCTTTCGCTGAAACTCATCCTGTGCGGATTAAGTGCCGGAAGCTAATTCTAATCCTAATTTTGTAAAGAATCGTGCAAAAGATAGTTTAGGTAAAAGACATTTGTCCTAACGTCAAAAAGCGATTTTTTTTTATAAATTATACAAAAGTGCCCCCTATCTATATACTCTTATACTACTCTTTTGCCCGCAGCGCCTGCAAGCCCACCAAACAAACAACCCCACCAGGCACACAGTTAATAAATCCGGAGCTTATAGGGTACAAGTTTACCAACCCCCAAGCGCCCCAGGCCAATAATATCTTTAAAATAACTCATTTAAAAACAGAATGAGTTTAATTTCAAAACACGAACAACACAAATTCGAAGGAGACGGTTTCTTCTCCGCTCTAACATCTTTCATCCCAAAAGTAGCCAACTTTGTCTCAAACAACAAATCCATCATGGATCTGTAGCAAAAGCAGGAATTAAAATAAACGATGCTGTGAAAAAGTCTGATGAATTGAAAGAATTACAGCAAATAAGAGAACTACGAAACAGGAGAATAGAACAACAAGAAAGGAAAGGAAAAGGTTTTAAAATTATTGGATAAAAATGTCAATGATAATTGCTCAAACTCCTAAAACTTATTTCGGTTCCGACATTCAAAAATCATTAGGTTCTCTTCCAGGATTTCCAGGTCATAATTGTACTGGTCCAGGTACAGGTACAAGGTTAGATCTGCGATTAGACCAAAACGATAAACCAAAACCAGGTGAAGAACCCGTTAATAGAGTTGAAGCCGCTGCACTTAAACATGATATACTATACAGAAATAAAGACATAACATCCAGACACGAAGCAGACAAACAAATGATAATCGAACTTGAAAATATTCTAAATCCAACTTTTAAAGAGAGAATTCAAAGGGCTCTGATCATAAAACTGTTAAAAGCAAAGATGGAATTGGGTATGGGATTGGCGGATGAAATTCATAAAGAATTTAGAAACTTAACTGATTACTTCAAAGTAAAATACCAACCAGTTTATACACAGTTGTCTAGAGTATTATTGATTTAATAAATACCTTTAACGCCTTGTAACAATCACTCCTCTATTGTTGACTGGATATATGTCACGCTATAATTAACATATCACGCGTGCAACGTCAGCACAGACAGTCTAAACTCTCTACTGTTAGCAGTGTTTCAATTTTTGTTACGCTGGAAGATTAGAAATTAAATCTTACAAAATCAAGGTATGTTCTTTGTTTGATTTAATCATAAGACGACAGGGTGGAATTAAGACTATTTGTTATTTTTCAAAATATCAATTTTGCTCTATTCCAGACACAAGTTTAATAGATTTCATATGACGAAGAATATTTAAACCATCGCAGGCAGTGGGGGGATACTACCAAACTCTGTGACAAATATCCGAGGATTCAAAATTGTTGATACAGATTTCGAAAATAGAACAAGTACCGAAGAACAAGCGTTTTGGAAAAGGATAAAATATGTGACTTATATCTAGCGCTTCTACACGAGCGGTCGTAACCCCTTGGCCCTTGAACTATGACTGGTAATAGTGTAAGAGGGGAGATAACTCTGAAGTATATCTAGCGCTTCTACAGGAGCGGTCGTAACCCCTTGGCCCTTGAACTATGACTGGTAATAGTGTAAGAGGGGAGATAACTCTGAAGTATATCTAGCGATTCTACCAGGAACGGTCGTAACCCCTTGACTCTTAACCCTTGAACACTGAAGTATATCTAGCGCTTCTACAGGAGCGGTCGTAACCCCTTAACCCTTGACCCTTTAACTATGACTGGCAATAGTGTAAGAGGGGAGAAAACTCTGAAGTATATCTAGTAGAAGTGTATATCAATGTAATTGTTTATGTTTTAAATTTCCTTGTATTTAGTAAAACTTACTTTGGTTGTTTGTTATTCGTCCTGCATTTCCATGGGGTTAAATGGTTTCAAATAATAGGGTAAAACCTATCTTTAAAAATGGCAGAAAAAAATTACAGATTAGATCCGATCTTTCAGGTTTAACACATTTTATTGATCATACAAATGGATGGGATGCAAGTTACATAAACTTAGAAAAATCCTCTCCAGATAATAATTTCATGTTATGGAAGTTTACATTACAATAATTTCAATTTAGTGACACATAACATATTTAACAGGAATCGAGATAGGTAATGATACATCGATAAAACGTTGCATTTTAAAGTCACAATGGGATTTCTTACCGGAAAGAAAAGCATGTAAACGTTCAATAGTAGAAAAAATCGTTTAAACCGTTTACCGTTCGGTAGTGAAAAGACGCATGAATTTGATACCATTCGGTACTAAAAGGTGTTAACATTCGGTAGTAAAAAGTCGAATTTTCAAATAGCTGTAAAGTCAAAAGTTCAATTCGCACAACAAAAATGAAAATATTTTTGGAAAGGTACAATAATTTGTGTTTCGGCCAAGAGGTCAACAGAGGTCAAATAAAAGAGAATATAAGCCTTAAAAGTGTTGAAAATTGCTGTTTTGGGACGTTTGTAAAAGCGAAAATATATGTCGGACATCAAAGATAAAAATATGAATGGATATCGTAGATCAATAACCTTTGACCTTCTAAAGACCAAGATTATGCATGTAAATGGTCAAAATATCAAAATTTTTTAAAATTGTAAATCCTATTCCCTTTTTTAAAGTAAAAGGCCTAAACAAAATGTAACTCTATCAGATATTGTCCCAAATAGTGCTTTAATTTTTTGTAAAATTTCGATGGTGAAAAATGCAAAATTTCGAGTTATAACAATTTGAATTATTTATGGTAAAGGATTTGCCAGGCCCACTGCAAAAATTTTGTGTTGTCTGTAATAATGTGTACAATGTCAAATGATGTTCAAAATTTCAAGTGTTTACAATCATTAGATCATGAGATATTCGTAGTTAAATGTTTTTTAAGGCAACGGTGACTGTCGGTGGATTATAGAAACCGTTAAAATTACGCAAAGTTACTATAGAAGTCAATACAAAATTTTCAAATTCAATTTTAATCAAAATACCAAGTGTTATATATCATTTCAAAGAATAGATTGCGTGTAATAAGGACTAAAGATAAATTTTCGCTTATATAAATTAGGTCACGTGATAGACCTTTTTTAAAGTTAAAAATCGCGATTTTCAATTGGCTGTAGAACCGGAAGTTAACGGAGCACGACAAAAGTGAAAATATTATCGGATATATCTCGTAATGGGCAACTACCTTTGTTCAGGTCAAAAGGTCAACAAAGGTTAAATAAAAGTAATATGAGCCTTTGAAGTTTCGAAAATTGCTGTTTTGGACGTCTGCAAAACCGGAAGTATATATCGGACATCAAAGATCAAAGTAAGAATGGTCATCCTTAGTCAATGACCTTTGACCATGCAAAGGTCAAGGTCATTCATGCTAAAGATCAAAAATGAAAATTTATAAAATTGTTAAACCTGTTCCCTTTTTTAAAGTAAAGAATGCAAACAACTGTAATCTTATCACAAATTGTCCTAAGCAGTGATCTATTTTGATGCAAAATTTCTAGGGTGACAATTGAAAACTATGAGAGTTATAACAATTGCAAATATTTCAGGTAAAGGTAAATGCACACCGGATGTGCCATGCCCACTTCAAAAATTTTAATTTGTCTGTGATGATGTCTACACTGTTAAATAATGTTCAAAAGACTGTCGGTAAATTATAGACACCGTGATTTTACGCACAGTTACTATAGAAGTCGGTACAAAATTTTCAATTTTTAAAACGCGCAATTTTGATCAAAATATCAAGTGTGATATATCACCAAAAAGGAGATTTCATGCACTCAAAGAATATATAAGAATTTATGTCGTATGTTAATTAGGTCACGTGACAGAGCTCTTCAAAGCTAAAAATCGCGATTTTCCAATGGCTGTAGAACCGGAAGTTAACGATGACTAACAAAAGTGTAGATATAATCGGATAGATCTCGTAAGAGGCAACAACTTTTGTTCAGGTCACAAGGTCACCAAAGGTCAAAGTCACTAGATATGAGCCTTAATAGTTTTGACAATTACTGAAAACATAAAACCGGAAATCGGCTTCCCATGTTTTGTTAGCAATCGATTGTAGTTTA